TAATTAATGCATATATATCTGTATAGATAACATATATTATATATACACATACATACGTCTCCTAGCTCTCTCTGTCCACTGAGAAGGCCTACAAGCACGGACACTTGAGGACCAATGAGCACACTTAAAACCCAGATTTTGGTTTTTAAATAACATAGAAAAGAAAATAGGGTTTCATGGATCCTTCGCTGATTGCAGGACTAGGCAAGGTGATGCTGGAACATCTTATAGTCTAAGAATCCAAAAAGGTACTTAAAAAATGATAGGAACATGTCAAAATAATGTGGAAATCTACTTCAAAGAGTTACAACCAGCCAAATATGGGACAATTTAAGTTAAAAATATTAACAGAATGAATTAGGAATCCAAGAATCCATAAGGATATAAACAAAGAGGAGGGAAAGGTCTTTCTTACAGTAGAAATGCTAATTAATAAATGTGTAAAAAGGGGCGCCTGGGTGGCTCAGTGGGTTAAGCCACTGCCTTCGGCTCAGGTCGTGATCTCAGGGTCCTGAGAGCGAGCCCCGCGTCGGGCTCTCTGTTCAGCAGGGAGCCTGCTTCTCCCTCTCTCTCTGCCTACTTGTGATCTCTCTGTCAAATAAGTAAATAAAATCTTTAAAAAAAAAAAATAAAATAAAATAAATGTGTAAAAAAGAATGAAAAATTATCATAATTACCATTTGGGCAATAACCATATCAATAACTATTTCAAGTAAGATTTATTAATAGCACAGATGAGACAAAATGGTAATTTTACAGCAGAGAAATCTGACAGGTACCACCTTAATAAAGTGATCAGAGTTAACATCATCAATATTGAGCAAAGAGGTATCTTATGCACCCAGATATGAGAAACTAACAAAGAGGGGTACAACATCACCTCTGTAGTACTTCTGGTTAAAATGGATAATCTGAATCAAGTCCTAAGAAAACATCTGACAAACTCAAAGTGAAGGATATTCTACAAAATAAATACCTCACACTCTTCAAAAATATCAGTTTAATGTAAGACTAAGGAATGATAAGAGATTTAAGATTAGAGAAGCATGACAACTAAGAGCAACAAGTGATTGTGGATTAATACTGAAAAAAGGAAGTTTTTTGTTTTTGCTAAAAAGGAGTATTTATTAATGGTATTAATGTCAAAACTGTTGAAATTTAAGTAAGTTATCTCAGGTAATTTTAATGTTAATTTCCTGATTTTGCTAATTATACTAAGGATATATAATAATTCCAAAGCAAAATCAAGAGGTACTTATAAAAATCCAGAAGTATAGGGGTGCCTGGGTGGCTCAGGGGGTTAAGCCTCTGCCTTCTGCTCAGGTCATGATCTCAGAGTCCTGGGATCGAGCCCCACATCGGGCTCTCTGCTCGGCAGGGAGCCTGCTTCCTCCCCTCTCTCTCTCTGCCTGCCTCTCTGCCTATTTATGATCTCTGTCAAATAAATAAATAACATCTTAAAAAAAAAAAAAATCCAGAAGTATAAAGTACTCATTTCTGGCTTCACTTACATTATATTGTTGACATATTTTTTCCAATTCAACTATAAACATTTTATTTAAGAGGGGCGCCTGGGTGGCTAAGCTGGTTATGCATCTGCCTTCAGCTCAGGTCATGACTCCCAAGATCCTGGGATCAAGCCCCGAGTCAGGGTCCTTGCTCAGTGGGAGCCTGCTTCTCTCTCTCTCCCTCTGCCTGCCATTCCCCCTGCTTGTGCACTCCCTCCCTCTCTGTCAAATAAATAAATAAAATTTTTTAAAAACATTTCATTAAGAGTAATAAAATCCTATAGCTGTGCCATAGTTTCTCTATGTATTCTATCTTGATTAAGAGTATTTTCCCAGAATTTTTACCTACATAAATAATACTGGCATATACTCTTTATTTCTTTTTATTAACATACAATGTATTATTTGTTTCAGGGCTTCAGTTATGTGATTCATCAGTGTTACACAATTCATAGCACTCACCATAGCACATACCCTCCCCCACGTTCATCACCCAGCCAACCTATTTCTCCTACACCTCTCCCCTCCAGCAACCCTCAGTTTGTTTCCTAAGATTAAGAGTCTCTTATGGTTTGTCTCCCTCTCTGGTTTCTTCTTGTTTCATTTCTTCCCTCTCTTCCCCTATGATCCTCTGTCTTGCTTCTCAAATTCCTCATATCAGTGAGATCATACGATAATTATCTTTCTTTGATTGACTTATTTCGCTTAGCATAATACTCTAGTACCTCTAGTTCTATCCACATCATTGCAAATGGCAAGATTTCATGGGGTTTTTGATGGCTGCATAATATTCCATTGTGTATATATACAACTTCTTTATTCATTCATCTGTTGATGAACAACTAGGCCCTTTCCTTAGTTTGGCTCTTGTGGACACTGCTGCTATAAACACTGGGGTGCATGTGGCATATAATCTTTAAACAATACTTTGAATCATTTCTTAAAATAAATTTCTATCCATATAATGATCACCTCACATTTTTAGCTTTCATCTTATGCATACATTGCCAAATGCTCTTCCTAGAAGACTACCAACACTCTTCCCTTCCCTTCCCTTTCCCTCTCCCAGACTCATCATGAACAACCACACACAGCAAAGGGTATTTCCAATTTTGAAAATTCCTGAGCCATATCTATTAGGTGACTCCTTTGGAACCTTATTATTACTTCATATCTTGCTTTTTATTATTTGGGAAGGTATTATTTCATATGTGACCTGGCCACTTGAATTTTCATTTTTTTTTTAAATTTTCACTTTTTTTTTCTTAACAATTTTTTTTTTCTTTTCCAATTTTTTATCCTTGGATCTTTCATCAAAAGGACTACATGAGGGGCGCCTGGATGGCTCAGTCGTTAAGGGTCTGCCTTCGGCTCAGGTCACAATCCCAGAGTCCTGGCATCAAGGCCCAAATCAGGCTCCCCGTTCAGTGGGAAGCCTGCTTCTCCCTCTCCCATACCCCCTGCTTGTATCCCCTCTCTAGCTGTCTCTCTTTGTCAAATAAATAAATAAAATCTTTAAAAAAAAAAAAAAGATGAAATGGATATAAAAAGCTTTCATTATTTTGAAGCAATGAAATTAATTATCCGTCATACTTAAAATAACTTTCCTAGTCTTAAAAAAAAAAAAAAAAACAAAAACCTTTCCTAGTTTTTTGAAATGTTGTTCATTGTTAAAATTCTGTTTCTGTAAGATACAGGCTTCTTTCTTAATTTTACAGGCCTATCATTATTTATATGATTATTTAGCTGATTTAGACTCTCACAGTAAGTGGTTTTTCCACAAATGGTTTCCTGGCTATCACAACACCATTTACTTAATCCCCACTTTCCCCACTGATCTGCATAACCACCTTTACCACAGGCTAATACATTCTTCAGTAACTTTCAGTTGGATTTTAAATTTTATTGTGCTCCTTTTGTTATAGCAGTCTTAGAATACATTTTAATAATTTATTGGGTAAATGCCCTTGTGATTACTACACCTCTGAATCATTCATCCTACTAATGAACTTAAAAGCCAATTGGTCGCACTCCCTGCACTCTTAAAAAACACACTGAGTTTTTTTATGGAATCACATTAAATTAATAGTTATGGCAACTGATATATCCAAATTGTTCTATAATTGCTTTAATCTCAACATTTTTAATTTTCCTTGAAAATTATATATTTCATTAAGACTTGTTCTAATAGTATGCATAAGAATTGTCTAAATTATTTTAATCTACTACATATTATAAGTCAATTTCAATTAAATATTGAAATATTTTATATGAGCTCTTTTTTTATTTGTCCCCCTAAACGCACTATCTTAAGATTTTCCCAGCTTAAGGGTACCTACGTGGCTCAGTCAGTTAAGTGTCCACTCTTGGTTTTGGCTGGGGTTATGATCTCAAGATTGTGCGACTGAGCCCCACATCAGCTCCACACACAGCGTGGATCTGCCTGAGATTCTCTCTCCCTTTCCCTCTGCCCCTTCTGCTTTTGCATTCTCTCCTCCCCACCCCTGCTTTCTACAATAAATGGATAAATCTTTTAAATATATATATATATATATCTTTGATGCAAAGAATTAAGTGAGACAAGTACTGATTCAACCAAGTTTCACTGACTTCACTCAAAAAAACACACAACACAAGGTCTTCATAATGGCCTAAGAAAGTCATGCACCAAGTGGCCTCTACTTTTCTCCACCTTGATTACTTATCCCCAGCCACTATAGACTTCTAAACTATGTTAGGCATGCTCCTACCCTGTCTTGTTTTAAAGAAAATACACATTAAAATATTTAGAGGTAAAGAATCATTATGTTTGTACCTAATTCAAACAATCCAAAAAAGAAAATTTGTATGTACATAAGCAAAAGAGAGAAAGAGAATGAACAAGCAAATGTGATCAAATGTTAACTTCTGGACAATCTAGATAAAGGATATAAAGGAATTCCTTTTACCATTTTGGTTACTTTTCTCTAAGTCTGAAATTATTTCAACGTAAAAAGTAAAACAAACAAACAAACAAAAAAGTCCAGCCTCAAAATTAGACTTGACAAATATCAGCATCCCCAAGTTAAAGATGGAAAAAGTGTCAAAACAATCAATTAATTAGAAAACAGGTGAAGCGGAAGTCTATTTTCTCAAATCTGTAGTTTACTTCCCACAGAAAAGGTTAACATTTCAACATAATGAGTATTTCATCAATAGACTATAAAGATCCCTGAGAAAAACAATGTGTGGTTATTCATAATCTGATCTTACTGTATTTCCTTCCTCACAAGGTCTGATGTTACTGGTATTTGAAAAATAAAATTTTTTTGACTCATCATTGATGAGCACATAAATAGTTGTTTATGCATCAGAAAAATCTAAGTCTAATCAATACCACAGCACTCAAATCAGTTATGTTTTTCACATTCCAGTAAACTAACCTATAATTTTTAAACTCAGGTGATTATATTCATTGTACCACGAAAATACACTGCTAAATATATCATTTACCTGAGAACTGCCACTGAAACCAGGAGGCTGGCTGTATTCTGTGGAATCAATAATACTACTGCAAAATGAAGAGAGAAAAATATGACATCAGTGTTTACATTACTCCAGCAACAGAAAAGGTAAACCTAAAAAATACACCATATCTAAGTCCAGTATTTCTAATTTCTAAGCAAAAAGAATATTTATTGCCAATAATTAGATATCAAATAAATGTATAACCCGTAAACAATCAGCCAGTATTTAAGCAATTTACAAACCCTTCACCCCACCACCTCAAACAAACAGACCATGAAAGAGTATCAATAGGGAATAATCACAAAACAGGTGTTACAGAAATGTATCTGCTCTAATTTCATTTTCAGATATGAACACTATTTAAGGAAAAAAGGACTCAAGAGTTATTAGGAAAAGAGCACAAGCAAGCAATCAAAGTTCAGTTAAGAAGAGATCCTGTTACGCCACTTAAGAGCTATATGTCCCCAGACACTTACTTTCTAAGCACTCCATTTCCTCATATTCAAAGTGAGATGAGTGGGGACTATCTCTACTGTATCTCTAGATTATCTCCAGGTCCAAAATGCTATGATAATAATCTCACATGAAGGAAAATTATCAAAGGAATGGAATAAAGGTAAAATACCAATAATCTTTTTTTTTTTCTTCACGAACCAAAACCTATATACTAGTTTTCTCTCCCTGATCAAAAACATAATCTGCGGGGCGCCTGGGTGGCTCAGTGGGTTAAAGCCTCTGCCTTCAACTCAGGTCATGATCCCAGGATCCTGGGATCGAGCCTCACATCGGGCTCTCTGCTCAGCATGGGGCCTGCTTCCTCCTCTCTCTGCCTGCCTCTCTGCTTACTTGTGATCTCTGTCTGTCAAATAAATAAATAAAATCTTTAAAAAACAAAACAAAACAAAAAAACATAATCTGCTTTCTGCATTGATTCTTTTTATTTGGTTGTAACTTCTGTGCATTTTCCTACCTAAGCCTAGAAAAATCTCTGAAACTATCTTTTTCTTCCTATTATTTCTATCTTCACCACTTCTATATTCTTCTCATCTTTAAATAAGTAAGCCTGTGAAGACCATTAACACCTGAAAACGGCAAAACATGTATCAACCATGATTAACCTTGTTATTTACTTTTTTTAAATTCTCCTTTCATATTACCACTATAAAAAACTATTTATATTGTCTACCCTAATGAAATTTAGACAAGTGAAGGTATTGATTGTGACAGTTGTCTATACACAAAATCATTCTTTACTTTAGTAATCAAATAACCTCAAAAGTTATAACATGAGAGGCTTTCTTAAGGGTACACAGAGTGGGTCTGAATTTTACCCCTGAGCAACTAAATGACTCTGGGCAAGTGATTAATCTTATTTGGCCTCAGTTTCTCCATCTATTAAATAAGGAAGAGACTTCAGAGAGGTGTAAAATTTAAATAAGTATGTTCCTAGTGGAACTCCAAAAAAGATGGTAAACATTCAATAAACTTTACTATTAATATAAAATTAGTCAATAACATACAACCTCCACATTTTAAAAAGTACAATAAATCAGATGGAACTGTTCTCACAATAGTCTTATAAAAGAAAAATGCAACACTTTTTTGTTTTAAGATTTTATTTATTTATTTGTTTATTTATTTATTTATTTGACAGAGAGAGAGACATAGTGAAAGAGGGAACACAAGCAGGGGGAGTAGGAGAGGGAGAAGCAGACTTTCCACAGAGCAAGGAGCCCGATGCAGGGCTCGATCCCAGGACCCTGGGATAATGACCTGAGCCAAAGGCAGATGCTCAACGACTGAGCCACCCAGGCACCCCAAAATGCAACAAATATTAAAAGAACCTAATTCCTTGTGTAACTGTTCCTTCAGTAAGGCTCAATTATATTAGAAAGAAACTTCAAAGCACTTACACTACAAATTAAAGAATTTTATAACAGGTTGCTTTTGATGAAATATAACCAGTGATCACTGTCCTTGCAGTGTCATGCACTGGCATGACTAGATTGTGTGCTACTTTTAGTGTACTCCATCTAGGGACTAACAGGGCTAAAAATGAAAAAACATGCATTCAACATCTCTGTTCGGGGTGCCTGTGTGTCTCAGTCAGTTAAGCGTCTGCCTTCAGCTCAGGTCATAATCCCAGGGTCCTGCAATCAAGCCCCAGGTCAAGCAGGGGCTCAGGCATCAGGCTCCTTGCTCGGAAGGAAGTCTGCTTCTCCCTCTCCCACTCCCTCTGCCCCTTTCTCTCAAATAAATAAATACATAATCGTTTAAAGAAACAAAATCTCTCTGTTCTTTTTACTAATGAAATGTAATCCGCTAGCATTTTTATAAACATTAACAAAATTGTGTAGCTGTGTATTTAGAGGTCAGGAGAACAGAGCATTTCTAGATATTATTTTTTATGGCGTTACTATTCAGATTTGACTGCAAACCTGAATAATGATATTGATACATCAGTGTCTACAGTAAGATTACATGTCAAATACATATTTTTTAAACACCCATCAATTTATAAAAGATGTTGAAATTACAGGTTCTAAATAGTATTTTGTTAATAGTGACTATAGAGTTTGAAATTTATGTTCTATCAGAATCTTACTCACTAGGAAAAATTTATTGATGCATACAAGGACTACAACAGAAGAAATCTGAAAAACAAACCTCTTTAATTCTTCTCTAAAAAATGTGTGTGTGTGTACAAAATAACATAAGTAGAAGAAAATATAAAAAGCACTGACGATCTAGGTCCTCTTGATTATGGCGTTATACCACTTCTTAACTCTAAGTCAGCCACAGTCACCAGATGGTAATGACGACAATGGCAGAAGCTCTATTATGTACTAGGCACTGCCCTCTTAACTCTAAGGTAGATACTATTATCATTCCCATTTCTCAAATCAGGCATAGAGAGATTATGTATTTAGCCCAAGGTAACAAAGTTAGCAAACAGCTGAGTTAGGATTCAAACCCATGCAGTTAGGCTCCAGAACCACCATACTCTATCTGTATTCCTTGGGCACATGATGTTCTCTAACTGAAGAGGGGGGATTTGTTCACCCCAACTCACAGACATAATGTTAGGAGAAAAGTGAAAGAATAGCACACTATGAATATGAAAGAGAGACAATTATTTAAAATATATATCATCAAAGAGAAACAGTTATTTAAAATAAATGTCATTACAAAACTTTAATAAAAACAAAAAAAAGGCAAGGTCAAGAAAAAAATTTCAGGGTAGTGACTAAAGCAGATTCAGGAATAATACACTTAAATCAAGACAGGGAAAATGAGTTGACAAAAAAAAAGAAATCCCAATGTTTTCACTGGGAAAATGAGAAGCTTAGCTAAAAACATAAATGAAAACTATGCAGCATTAACCCAAATTACAAGGGAAATTCAATTTCACATATAAGCTATATCCATAATGAACAGGTAGTCTAGAGCAAATAGTGGTTCATTCTTGGTAAAAAATACTAGATGACTACCTTTTGATTGGGCGTTTATTTGAAAAAGATGGTTCACATTTAAATTACCGACAGATACATTAGCTAATTAAATTATAGAGAATTTTTTATTCTGTGAGCAAACTATAGTATATTAAGATTGTTTAAGGCTGAACATTAGGGGCACCTGGGTGGCTCAGTCGATTAACCCTGAGCTTAATGCAAAACTTTGGCTCAGGTCCTGATCCCATGGAGCCCAGCATCAGGCTCCCTGCTCAGCGGGGAGTCTGTTTTCCCCTCTCCCTTTGCCACCCTCCACCTTGTGCTCTCTCTCTCTCTTTCAAATAAATAAACAAAATCTTTAAAAAATCATTTAAGGCTGAACATTAAAAAAATTAATGAGGGTTTTAAATAAATAAGGAAATTGAATGGTCAAAAAAATGCTATGCACACACATGAGATCAGACTAACCACTGTCATTCATTTGTTCTTTCATTATATAAACTTAGGATAGAGAAGAATAAACTTAATTTTAATAAATTTAATAAACTATATGGGGCTAGAGCCAAAACCTGTTCCCTTGCAGTATTATACATAAAATTATTAAATCAGTTACACAAAACAAAGCATGCTAAGCAACATGTTAACCTGAAAATAATTTGATTATAAATTTTAATAATGATTAATTAAAATCAAATATGGTTTTAATTTCTTAAAACAATAAAGTATGTTACTATTTTATTTCCTTTCTACCATGGCAGTACTCCATAATATTATAAACACATAAGAACCAAATCACTTGTTCTTCTCATAATCTTTTCTGTTATTTAACAAAGGTTTTCCTCTGCTACATCAGAGTGATCACATCATTTCTTATATAAGAACTGAAGTATTACACTCCAAATTAATGGTAAATCTCATTTACTAAACAGCGAAAACTCTTGTGGGCCCCACTTACGCAGACACCTCAAGAGACACTGGTAATCAGTCTTCATGTTTGTTTTTCCTTTCTGATTTTACCAAACCCTTTAACATTTGATACAACTATTCAAACAAATTGTCCAGTATCAATGTGACTCATCTGTCCACTAACAGCAGCAGCAGCTAACATCTATGGAGTGCTTACTGTGTGCCAGGCATTATTCTCATTTCTTAAAAAAAATATGTATTATCACATTTAATCAGTGAAGACAGGTATTATCCTTATTATACAAATGAGAAAACTGAGGTATACAAAAGTTAATAAACTTGCCTAAGATCAAAATGCTGATAAGTTGTAGAGGTGAAATTTGAACCCAGGCAGTGTAATTCCAGAATTTTTAAGGAAGACTTCCAAAATTACATACATTTTCTCTTCTCAAATATCACTGCCCTCCCATTTTTGAACCAAAAGTTTCTCTCTTCTTTTCAATGTTTCATTTTCAACTCTGTGATGACTTCCAAAACTCTTTCACTTCCCAATGCTTAATGAGTTCCAAAGTAAGGATGCCTCCATTATAATACTGGTTATGCCACTAATCGTGTGATACTGGGCAAACTGCTTCATCTCTAGAATAAAAGTCCCTCAGATGTACAATGAAGAGGATAAAAAAAC